ATTTTCAGACACAGAGAGGCAAGTGAGCCTTTGCACAAGCATCAGTAATGTAAGACCAACTGAGCAACCAACGGCAGCTCCAAAGAGAGCAAGATTCCTTCGTCGTCTGGAGCAACGCAACGAGCGTAGATTTCTGAAACTAACTCGTGCTCCTGAAGTGCATCAAGGCAGTTTTGCACAGGCAGCTGCAAGCATCCATAAAACTCGCCTGCTTCTACTTCTTACAGCTATTTTCGACATGCTGACCAAACCAGAAAAAGCAGGGCGTCCTTGCCTCGACATCGACACCAGCCAGCTGAAAGATCCTTAGGGATCAGTGCAGCAGAATTAAAAAGATTTGTGTTGTGATTCGGCATTCCGAAGCCACTTCCTCGAGACCATGCACCTACAACTTAACCGCCTCAACCACTTCGCTCTACCTGAACGCGGTGAGATTTCCCGTATTTCCCGTGCCCTAAACCCTACCGCCAAACATCTTTGGCGGAAACTGACCGGGTCACTATCTACTTCAGGGACATATTGGAATCGGGCGAGGTCGGGACAGGCAGACCAGCTAGCCAAAAGGCGATGAGGCCAGCAACCACAAGCGAAGAACATGCCAAAGTCTAGAACATGATCGTGCCGAGCCACACTTTGCTCCAGTCCACGTCCAAATGCCCGCAGCCTAGATGTTTCGGAAGAATCCTGAGACGGGCAAGCGCCGTCGCTGAGCCAGAATCGGCATTGGGGTGGGACGCGCACATTGATCTAGGAGCCTGCTCTGAATAACTCGTGGCAAAGGATCTTGCGCAAATCCTTGCACGTCATGGTCTTCGGAATGAGAAGCTTCTTGTCCAGGGCAGGTAATCCTGCACCCAAGGACGCCATGGAATCAATGAAATGCATCGCCCCACGCGTCCCCGCGGGTTCTTGCAAGGCCCAGGGCAAGAGGTCCTGGTGCCTCTGCTTGATTGACGAGCACTGGAACGCGGTCCGGGTGCTTCCTGAGCTCCAAGGAGTGCCGGCGCAAATCTCCCAATCTTGCACTGTATGGCTACTCCCCGCCCCGGCTCTTCCACGCTCATGCCTGGCTCGGGCTCCCTAACATTGCAGCCGGGACACATGCGAATTCGCCTGGCTTTTTCCGCGATGTCATCCTTGCAATTCTCGGGCCCCAAGAGGTGCGGACCCTTGCATTGATATCGGGCCGAATCCCACACACCTCGGAGATTGCCACCTTGGCCTTTGGTTTCTTCTGGTCCTGGAGAACGAAGTTTTTTGTCGAAGGAATGGTCCACCACAATCAGACAAGAAGGCCACTAATGAACTAATGGAAGGGGAGGCGCTACCACGCTTGCTCCTGCGGGACCGCCTCGTCCATCTTGAATTCTTGGGGCCCTTCTACCGCGTCCTCTGAGGTTTCCGAAGGCTGCCGACAAAGGAATGTTTCAAGTTTTTTCTTTAGGGTTTCGGGTTTTGGGTTTGGCGGACTCAACTGGCTACAGCTCCACGGCACGATTGTAGTTTGGACTCATCACAATTCGGGGACCCGAGGGGCCACGCTTGAAATCTCTACTCGGCTCTCACTCGGCTGGGTGCGCTGCAACCTCTCATTTTCCCGATCTGTGCCAAACATATGTACAGCGTGGTGTGGCCGCGTGTCTGGTATAGACAATCGATCGAGAGAGAGCGGCATGAAAGCAGAGCCAAGCAGGGGCCCATCCTTCGCCGCAGCTTCCACCCTGAAGTACAGCGCCCCGCTGGGTGCCTCTTCTAACAGTGGATGGCTTCTCGAAGTACTTCTGCAGACAGGCAATAGTAAAGGCATATCAGCAGCATGAATCAGCAGAGATGCATCAAACATCAACACCAAGGAGCATGACAATGAGCATGATAAGAGAGTGCCAGGAGTTGCTTTATTCTCTGGTGCCAGGCCTTGTACATAGAATCCAACTGCTTCATCGTCCTCTCTGCTGGCACCTCCATAGTAGCGGAGCCCTTGCCTGGTGGCAGGTCAGGTGCTACAGGGCGATCGTTTGGGGATACTATGGCCCAGGTTTATTACAACGTAGTGTCCGGACGGTAGACTGGCCTTTGCACAGCAAGACTTTGCCGCCTTGCACGGCCCACGAGCACTTCTGACGAGCAATTTCCAGGAACCTGAGAGTAACATCTCATGGAACATGTCTGTGGGTCGCAATGCCGCCACGCACTGCACGCATGCGAAGCGAGGCCGGCACGCGGCACCTTGCAATACTAACAGATGCCAGAGGCTGGATGGGGTTGCAGCAAGCCGGTCAGGGCACAACTCTGTCGCATTGCCTTGCCTGTCGTCTCGTTGGGCACGATGAGCTTCTGCTCCTTCTTTTCATCCCGGCTGTGCACCTCAAAGGGGCCCTCAAAAATCCGAAGAAGCATGCGACGACATAGTTTTCTGTGGACGACGCTATATGCATGATCATGCATGGAAGACGAGCGAATTCACTGCTGCAGAGCGTCACAAATTACCGGCACGTGGTGCGGGTAGCGGTTGCGGAGCTTCTCCAACTGCCACTTCAAAAGCTGCAGGCATTCCACCAAATTCAGCAACTAACTCGTCAGGCCTTGTTGTCCATGGTACCGGAGGCGCGCAAGCGAAGGTCAAGCGAAGGCTCGAATACACTAGCTGGGTGAAGGTGTGAGCCCAACAATATGCCAGCAACACTCTATATTCACGCTGATAGACGCAGCTCACATGCAGGCCACAGACGTGTCTCTGCTTCTTTGCAACGTTTGTGAAGGCACATACCCCCAAAGCCTCGCAACTTGTCAGCTGACTGTGCATTCTCGTTTAGCTCCGCAGCCTGAGGTGCATCAAATGACTTTCAGAACACCGGCACAAGGATAAGCTCGGGCAAAATCGCAGCTTCACGTAGACACTTGGAGACTCTGGGGCCACGGCAACGCGCAGCTCGCGCTCTCCCCAGCGCTCAACCTCCCGTTTCTGCTGCGCCTGGCAGCACGGGCAGGCTCAGACTGTCCTGCAACCTTGACTACGATGCCGACAGCCAGCGGCAACAGTGAAAAGTGCATTCTTAGAAGATGAAAGGCCGATGTCATTGCCAATCTGATTGTTGAGATCGAACTCGCGCAGCCAAGAATGAGGATCGTTTCGCTCGTTTTGGACACATGCTTGATGCCTCTTCGAGGCGCAAGACGCTGCATCGCAGCCTGAGGCCAGATTTCTGACATACAAGTACGAAGTGTACGCTACGACAAGACTTACGAAAAAGCAAAGATCCGCTGCCAGGGACATTGCGAATTAGCTCCAGCAGTGGTAGTGGTGGTGGTGGCGGCTTGTGGACCTCAGCTGAGACGCGTGAATTGAGAGGTTGCCCATGACCATTGGCGATATCTGCCACGCAGACACACAGTACCTGCCACTTCTGCGTCCGCTCATTTTAGTTCATTTCCACTGTGCAGCTTTAACTTCATGTCCCGCTCTCGATACTTGTACATACTTGTACATTCCAGGGGAAGACTGCCGTTGCCACGGTTGGCCTGACCACACTGCATGATCGAATCATACCCATCTGCAAAAATGCAACGTTCGAAAGCAGCACAATCCAGGACTCTGGGTTGGAGTCGAAGGTTTAAGGCATTGATGCTCAGTTTGTTGGCAATGTTGCCCTGGTCCCAAACATTGCTCTGGTTAGTCTGATTGCTGTGCTTGAGTAACAACGTCGAGGTCATACTGGGCATCTTCGGAAGACGGTGGAACCAACCAGGCTTCATTTTCATGTGAAGAAAGGAGGACAAATCGCAGCCTACAAGTAGCTGGAAGCCGCACGTAAACGTGACATCCATGGAACCACTGAGGGGTTGGCCAGTTGCATCCTGTGCCTGAACACCACAGTAGACTGCTTCACTCCTGCGAACCTGATTTCACTTATGATGCCTCCGTGGCTTCTGGCTTGCTGGCTCGCCTGACGGGCAGGCTGCTGCCCTTCTTGCGGAAGTGCGTCGTGATCGTTTGCAAAGGATCCGGGCGCCAAGCTGCTGGAGAAGGGGCACCTGAATCACTGGGTGGGCTGGGTGGGAAAAAACGGTTGGACAAGACAGCTTTCGCGTCAGCTGAGAAAACAACTTTGAATGCATTGCCCACCTGCCGCTTGGTCTTATGCTGGCCTAGCACAGGCAGTGCTACAGTGCCAGAAGCTGCTACGAAGCCATGCAGAAAAACACCAAGCTGATGGCGAATTTGCTTCTGCCTCTGGCTGTGCCTTCGCAAGGCCTGTCAAAACAAGCCCACCAGCTCTGAAATTGCAGCAAGTAGCTGTGTCCAGGGGGCACCTCTTGATATGCGCTCTCCATGGGCTTCAAGCACCTATCTACACAATGGACAAGCTGAAAGCACCCTAAACCCTAAACCCTAAACCCCAGTCATGCCAACGTTCGTAAGTTCTCTTTTTGCCAGATCTTGCCAAGGCACTGAGCGCTGCTCCATTTCGCCGCAGCCTGTCGGGATCTGTCGGGATGACGTGTGCAATCAGCCCCACTTGGAGGTTCATGTGTAGTTATAAGTGGGGTTATAAGTAGGGTAAGTAGAATAACCCATATTAAGGGACTTATAACCATACTTATAACTACCCATGAACCTCCAAGCAGGCAGCAAATGAAATTATGCCACAGCAGAGTGTGCCTCTCGGGACTCCATTTCTCGACGACAGTTTGCCACAAGCAGCGTCTGCAAAGCCGAGGCAGGAAAAACGGCACATGCAATCGTGCCATGACGGCCAAACTTCGTGAAGCTTGCCATTTTGCGCTGCTGCTCCGCTCGCTGACGATGGGCAGCACGCAGTCTCAGCATCTCTGCAGTTCTCTCTCTACGAGAAGTGACTCCTTGGCCTGGTATAAGGCCCGGGCTCTGATTCCGTCTCGCCTTGCTGAAACAGGGCATGGGGCCGATTGCTGGCGTCAGACGGCTTGGTAACATTGCTGAAGGCCCGGGCTCACTCTCTTCTCCCAGGCTTTCTTCTCCGTTAGCTTCCTGGCTTCTTGGCTCCGACGTCGGCGGTTTTTATCCAAAGCTTGCGGAGTCCGCACGCGTCCAAGGCCGCATGCGTCTCTTCAGGCTGTCGCCTGCTGGGTGCAGTGATACTTGGAGGTTCATGGGTACTTATAAGTATGGTTATAAGTCCCCTAATATTGGTTATAATTCTAGTTACCCTACTTCTAACCCCACTTATAACTACCCGTGAACCTCCAAGTAGCCCCATAAGCAGCAGCCATCAGCAGCCTGTGAAGTTTCCTGTGGAAGCCGAGGCTTCGGCTGGATGGCCGCTTCCAGAGTCTCAGACGCGCAAGCAAGGACTCTCAAAGACCACAGGCACACTTCTGCTGATGGGCACCTGCAGCTCGTGCTCCAGATTGGGGATCGCAGCTTCCTGGCCACTGTAAGAGTCAGGTCTAGTGCAGTGCACACCGCCTCGGAACGGCTAGATCACTCAGGACTCCGTCGACGAGACTTCGCCTTCCCCCGCCTCGCCCCCTGCCTCCCCTCAGGTCCGGCTCCCCCCACAGCGTTTTTTGACACTCGCACTCGGACACTGCGGCAGGACGAAAGTTCGTCGTACTCTGGCATATTGGTCTTGAACGCCTTGCATAACCTTCTTTTCGTGGATTAGTTCCTCCGCTAGCCAGGCCACCACGTAACATGAACTTTCGGTACTCCTCGTCCTCCGTATGATAGCAAGTGCGACGAAGTTTTGATCCTGGCGATGTAGTCGGACAGCCCAGGCGAGGCTTGCAAGGGCATCCTGACAAGGCGAGCACTGAAACGGTTTAGGGTTTAGGGTTTAGGGACCCGATACTTTAGGCCTCGGATGCAGGCCTCGACAAGGCTTCAAGTACATCGGATCTTTGACAAGTTTCAGGCTCTCGCATGGCTCGAAGCTTGGCCGCAAACCCATCAGTCAAGAACAAGATTCTGCTTGATAGGTGGATCCTTCCGCCCTTACATTCCAATCGAAACAGGAAACCATTTACAGTGGCCTGTATACTAGCTTAGCGGAGGCTGCGGCGGCTACGATGTCTCCTCAGTACCTCCTCTAGCGCATGCTGTCTGCTAACGTCCAATCGCGATGGGGGCCCAATAAGGCAAAGTTTCACCGGCCTTTTTGAGTCCCGTACATTCGTTTGAAGGTCTCAACAATGAAAAGTCTTTCCGACCTGATTTGTTTTGGAAGTCGGGCTTCGTGAATTAGAGGACTATCTCCGGCTGCGAAGAAACGCCTACGGCTTTCGGAAGGAAGTCCGGCTATCTGGATGTCGGAGCAGCCAAGAGCGTTCCGTACTAAACCGCATACGCGGGGGGAGGCCAAGCCATCGATTCTCCAACGGGGTGCAGTAGCCCGGCAGGCCTCAAGGTAGTATAGGGGCCTGAATAATTATGAATACGGTTTTGGGGTATATTCTACTACGAGTATAATAAGGAAACCCCAAATAGTAGAGGTATTAAGGCCCCGAAAGTACCCAAAAATGAAAAAGAGCTGCTGCTGCGACAGCTACAACTGCGAACGACAACAACAACAACAACAACAACAACAACGACGACGACGACGACGACGACGACGACGACGACTACTACCGCCTGCCAGCCACCCCCCTCTACCGACTACGCTTCGTCATTGTCATCAACATCATCACCAACATCACGAAAAAGCAAACACGTTTCATCACCAACATCACGAAAATCAAACACGTTTCATCACCTTTCATCACCAACATCACGGAAAAGCAAACACATCTCATCACCAAATCACGAAAAATCAAACACGTCTCATCACCAACATCACCAAAAGCACTGTAAATACCGAGAAAATAGGGGTTGTGTGCGAAAGTACCGTAAATACCGAGGAAGAAGCATTCCCTCACTTCGAGACACCAAAGTTTAAGACGCACAGTCCAGAAGTTGGGGTGGCAGCTATATAAGAAAGTACGACATCACGAAAGTACTGTAAATGCCGAGCAAAACGGCTCTTGTGGTGATATTGTTGGTTGTGTGTTCGTAACACTGTCGTCATCATCTCCCCCCATCCCACCACCCGCCCAGAAGCAAGTCCAAAATCAGGAGGCCGAGATTGCAAACTCGACAAGTCGATTTTGAGGCTTCTTGTGGTGATCGTACATGACGAAAGTGCTGCAAATACGGAGTCACACGGATGTGCTCTTAAGCTGGTTTAGAGAAGTGTAGTTGGTAGGGGGGGCGCCTACCTCTACTAACAACAACGTTTACATAGGACTGGAGCCAACCACCACTCCTGCTCGGATTTGTAATTATTCGTACTAGTAGCACGCGTACTAGTACAGTATCCCACTAGTCGAACTGCGACTCCTAAACATCATGGAGGAGGCTGGAAGAGCAGGCTTCCTCCGCCGGCCGCCGCAGTCCCGGAACAGTCACCATTGCTCAATCACTGGTTTAGGGTTTAGGGTTTAGGGGCGGGCCAAAACACAATCATTCCCCTACAGCAGCTTGCAGCTTGCAATCTGCAGGGGCGCATCCTCGCGAAGCCCTCGGAGGAGCCGCCCTTGTCTCATAACCCCTGAAGTTTCGGCTCTCACAGCGACAATCCGGGCGAGGCGTCTGAGTTTAGGGTTTAGGCTGGCTGAGCGGCTTCATTTCAAGGCACTGTGAGAACTCCCGTCGCGTCCAGCCGACCTACCCTGGCACACGCCTTTCACTGGCCGAGGCGGGGTCACGTAGCGACATGTAATCGTAATCGTCTCACTCACCCGATTCGAAGCCGAAGCTGAACGTGCTGTGATGGCGGTCCTGTTCTTCGCGCACCTGGCGCTGACCGTCATATGTCAGCAAGCACAAGAACACTTCAAGGCATGACGGCGCAACGATGATGCCAAAGGGACTTGTCCGCATTCTGCTGGCTCAATTCGCTAGCTTTTTCAGGTGAGGACTGCATCCAGATCCCTATCTTTGTAGAAAGTGGCCACAACGAGGAGTGCTGGGCAAGAAAGCAAATTCGACTCCTGCGCTCGCGCCAGGCAGGCATGAATTCACGACGCCTGGTCTTCTAAGATTAAACACTACAGGAGGCAGCACAGTGACCCAAGCCAAACCCACACCCCGTCAGAACCCAAGCGACGCAAAACCCGACAGTCCACAATGGAACACCTGCCACCCACCGACAGCCTGCTGGAACTCCCAGTTCCTCCGTTGAAGCTTTTGCTCCAGTGCCTTTCAAGCGCCAGAAGTAGAAGTGCGAGATCTGGGCCTGGATCCCTTTAGACCTAGTGGCTGCCCCTCTATGGTTCTATGGCTTGCGGCACGAGTGTTCTGGCCTCCTGCTCGGCTGCAAGCTTCCTGCAGACCAGCTCAGCTCCGTGTGCAAAGGGGTATATACAAAGCACTACTGTAGCACAAGTGGAGCGAGTTCCACCTGCAGCACTGGGCACATTTTTAGTCAGCGCATCCACTTTGGCACCTTCGACTCGGTTTGGTTTGTTGGCCCGCTTCTCTGTTTCACAAGCGGCCGATCTCCAAGAACGATTTTCAACGAATTACGCAGCAAGACGAGCTATATATATATATGGATCGCAGGCGCCTTGCTCCAATGTTACTGAGGAAGGCCTTGGTCTGTGGATGTCTTTGCACTGCCACTGTACACGGAGTACATCCTGCCACGGTTCGAAAACAGGCCGGATGTGTTGGTACAACTTGGTGATTTGTCAGTGCTTGCGAAACGGCAACTTGTGCCGTGGAATAACGACGTAGTGCTGCAACCCTACATGGCGAGATCCCACATTTCGACCTCGATTTGTAGCACAATACAAGGATTGCCATTACTCAAACAAGCACTGCTGCCTGCAGCCAGTGAGACTTGAAACACTTCTCCGAGTTCTCTGACATTTGGTAAGGAGAAACAATTCGACTCGTCAGGGCAGTGGGCAAGGCTTGGCGCATGGGTTTTCGCATTTGCGATTGGACACGACACGTCGAGACAGTGTGCCAGACCTGGTCACTATCGCTGTGTTGACCCTAAACCTTAAACCCTAGTCAGCTGCGCCCAAGCCATGACCTCTCATACTGCCCACTTGCCCGTTTGAGTACTTCCTGAGCCTGGGGCTCGCGTCAGTATCGCTCCGTCTTTATTAAGGGTCCCCGAGAAGACATGTGCCAAGTTGCACAGCACAGCAGGTAACTAAACAACGGAGCTAGGAACGTAATTCAACTAATCACCACCGGGAAGTTCAGCCCTGTGCTTCATGCATGTGGCGGCAGAAAGAGGCAACACGCGCTTACTTAGCGCCGGGGGAATCCAAAAATCATGTATGCGCGATTAGTCGCTGCAGTGCAACAACGTTTCAACCGCATTAACGGGGGTGCAGGTGCAGCGCCGGCTGAATCAACGAGACGCTTGAAAATTCTGGCCTGCAACAGAAAAAGTGACCTCACCATGGAGAGCTTCACAGAACAAAGTCTTCAAAAGGCTATATCTCACTATGCTGACAACATCTGACAACTGATCAGATGAAGCTCTCGGCAGACAAGAGCTCTCCTACACGCTAAAGCAGCCCCAAGGCTGCCAGAGCTCTGTCAGTCAGAGGCTGATGGGTCTGACATGGCTCCGAGAGCTCAATACACGGGCCTTTTCGCCCGGCCCGGCCTGCCACCGAAGGTTTAGGGTTTAGGGTTTAGGGGTTTAGGGTTTAGGGGTTTAGGGTTTAGGGTTTAGGGTTTAAGGAAGTTCGGCTGGGTACTTTTCCTGTCCTACTTGGAGGTTCATGGGTAGGTATAAGTGAGTCCCCTAATCTGGGTTATAACCATGGTTACCTTACGTACAACCCCACTTATAACTATCCATGAACCTCCAAGTAACCACATCATACTGAACAAATCTTCCCAAAACCAAAGGTTCACACAACGCCCAGCTTAGCTACAGAGGCAAGCGTGTTTGAGACAGCGACAGCAACAAACGGAAACGCAATGCCTTGCACTAGGCGGTAGCGATGTGGCTGTGCTTGCACCTGCCACCGACAGTCGGCTACAGTTGACGGGCACATTCAAGGCTGAAAGAAACCCAGGTGGAAGTTGATCTCAACGGTTGATATCGACACCTTTGCCCCTGCAGATAAGCTGCTGCTTCGTCGACGGGGCATTAGCCACGCCAGCCCCACCTGTGCAGAACCGCCATAACCCCTGCCCCAATCACACGGCGGCAAAGACAGCAGTGCCCTCCGGCTCAAAAGCAGCCATGCCACATCGCCAATCCTTGGTTCGAGTCAGTACTGGACGGACCTGAACCGACATTAAGCCGTTTTGAAGCGACGTCTGTCATACGAGGAGAGTGTGACATGTTGCTGCGCACTCGCAACTTTGTTTGTGTTGCCTGCGTTACAAGACGCACTCCTTTTTTCACATGAGAGGCAAGGACCCGAACTGAAACCGCAAACCGGAACCGATTCTTGCAGAACCGCTGGAACCGCAACGCCGGTTTGAATACCCGAACACTGCCGAACCGAATCGCCAAATCGGTTTGTGTGCAATAGACAGACCGAAATCCTGAAAGTCTCCCGTGCAGGAGCACAGCATTTAGCATCTTCAGATCCAAACGTGCCCAAAACTGCAGTGCATCGCATTCGGACCCCCCCCAACCGGCCAAACTCTGAAAACTCCTGCGTGTTCCGGTAATTTGTGCATAGAATATACCCAAACAGACACACACACACACAATTCACACAATTAATTCTCTGTACTCCCCCGTGTCAAAAGGGCCGCGTGCGGGGGAGTACAGTTTGTTCCGACCCAACGTGCCAGTTCGCGAGGGAGTACAAGTACAAGTTTTTGCACTTCCAAGCCCAAAGTTGAAGGGTGCTAAATTGTGTACGCCCGCACGTTCCTCGCCCTACAGGGACACGATGAGGCCGCTAAAGAAACCTAGCAAACTAGCAAATTCTGAGCTCCGGCACGGATGCGGCGCCGCGCGCGCAAGTACAGCTTTTAGCAGTTTCAGACCCAAACGTGCCCGACTGTACTCAACGTTGCACTTCCAAGCCCGCGTGTTCCTTGCACCATGTCTGTAAATTCTGCGCTCCGGCGCAGAAGGCTCACCTTGTGTGGGGGAGTACAGCTTCAGCAGTTCCAGACCCAAACGTGCCCAACACTGCAATCCCGCGCATTCCCGGCCCGTGCCGGAGTACAGAATTTGGCACTTGCAAGCCCGAAGGTGCTAAATTGCCAAATTGTGCGCTGCCGCGCTCCCGGCAGGAGCGCACCCAAATGAAAACAAGAATATGCAGTGTTTGGCACACTGACACAGCCAAACGGATATTCTGCCACCGGGGATCCCAAAACAGTGAAAGACCACACCAGAAGCAGGTCATTCTGACCAAGAAGGCACGACCGCTGTGCTTGAGAAACTAAGGGTCGGGGCAAACTGAACTTATTAGGACTATTAGGAACTGTCAGCAACCGCGACCCGAACCGCAGGAACTGCAAGAGAAACCGAGCAAAATGAACCTGAACCGCCGGTTGAAAACCGCAAACCGAGCCGAACCGAACCGTTACATTCATGTTTTCAGCAACTGTACAACAGCTCGTCAGGCGAACTTCAGTACCTTTGGAGACAGAGAAGCGAAGACATCAAGACGAGCCGTTACTGTAAGTCGACAAACAGCGAGAAAGCCAAGAAGCCAGAAAGTCAACACGAGGAAGGTGTCACTCGCGTGCACAACAATAGCAACAAGGAACGAATTTCGCGGAAGACCACAAACCCGACCTGCAACAATGATGTAAAGCCGTAGGCATCGATCTGTGCATCTGTCTATCGTGTCAAACTTGGGCATCTTCGCCTCTCTGTCTATCTCTCTGTCTTTGTTGTCTTACCCTGTATCTACCACTTTCTCGACAGTATTATGTATTCAATTCTTTCTAGAGCCGTGTTGATAAAGCCTCTTTCGTTCTTCACTGTATCATGTATTCAATTGTTTCTAGAGCCGTGTTGATAAAGCCCGCGATGGCTTTCGGGGCAAGTAAGGGTTTTAGTGAGCATGGGGTAGCAAGGGTGGGTGTATGTTAGTGCAGCTTGGAAAGAAAAGGGCAAAAGGATGGTCTAAGTACACCTGTTAGACCAGTTTTACTGGTGAGATCGGATGTTGTGTTCGACAAGCGTCACAAGAGAGCTATTCCCAATGGCGTGGCTTGGCTTATCTCATCTCCCCGTAGATGTGGATTTGAAGAAGGAGCTGGGCAAGTCCAGGCAGCAAAACCATGCTTCATGCTTGGGACTGAGTAGCATGTCAGTACCGCATATCAGCATATCCTTTACAACACCGGAGTTTTCTGCCGATTCTTCCTGTGTAGGCTCGCAACGAAGCCTGGAAGCAGAGAGTTGTTCTGAGCACGAGTCCTCGCTTCTCTCCTAGATTGTTCTGAGTGTGCTCCCCACTCTGCTATTCCCTTCTATCTCCTCTCGGTCCTAGGAACCAGAAACAGCATACGGTCGACATGAACCAGCAAGTCGATCATCACAGAATCGCACTTCATACTTCTCAATTTTGGCTTGTGACTAGCTCCGGCCCTCAGACTTCCAAGGCGAATGCTCAATTGGATAGTTCTCTAAATTAGGGTCCCTTTTTGGGTTCCTTTCTATAAGGGTGCCGTACTATAATGGGGACCTAAAAAAGGGACCTTAATTTAGAGAACTACCCCATTGTGGGTCGAGCAACTGTGACCCATCGCCAACTCGGATTGCGCTGCCCGGCTGCCGCTGCGCAGTAGCTTGAACGGCCTGATCGGTGGCTTAAAGGCACCACCGTGTCTTGCCGTTCTGCATCCTTGCAGGTTCATGGGTAGTTATAAGTAAGGTTATCAGTCCCCTAATATGGGTTATATATGGGTTATAAGTTATACCTATAGTTACCTTACTTATCCGCCGACCCCGCTGTTGGGTCGAGCGCCGGGGAAGCCTTTGCATGGCAGGTAGCCCCCGCAACTTTCGTAAGCTCTGCACTCCCCCCGCTCTCTGGGGCCGCCCTCTCTGCCCGTCCAACAAAAAAAAGCTTCGCTCCTGCTCCTGCGCCCCTCCCCCTCCCCCCCCTTGTTCCCCTACCCCAAAAAAACCTCTGTTAGAGAGATGGTACGGGTACTATTTATTCTATGGGTAGCAAAGTACTGCAGATGCCACAGATACAGTATCCTTGAGATACGTGAAGTACTACGTATATTATCTGTACTAACTATTCTGTTTATACTACCTGCAGTACCTATACCATCTTTACTATCTACACTAACTGTATGCGCGATGGCGGATGGCGGTGGATCTCACATCTTGAAACACGATGGTGGTTGAGCTTTATCGTCTA